CATTTAAGGAACAAAGATATTTAATTTGAAATTAGAGTTCAGTAGTTTAACTTTGGTTTTTTGCTGTAGTTTTACTTAATTTAAGAGTAAAAATAATTGAATTGATGCTAAATTTCAATGCAAAATAATCTTAATTCATGTTAAGCAAAAGACAACTATACAATATGGAAAATAATTCAAATGAAAATGTTTTGCACACACATCAAGTGTTGAGAGTTTATACGATGCTTTAAGAAAGAATATAATGTATGTATAATTTAATCAACTCTCAGAAAAATTATTCTAATTTACGCTACAATTAAATGAGTTGACAGTTTTGATTGGTCAAGAGCCAACGCATAAGTATATACTGTTTTAATTAAATCTTGTGAATTTTTACAAGAAATGAATTATTGTTTTCAAGCGGAAAACATGGCTGAATTGAAGCGAACAATAATATAATTTGACATTTTGACTTTAGTAAAAAGAAGAAGGGAAAACTAATTTGGAGGTCCTTGTAATTATACTCAGTTTTGAATCAAGTCCCTGAGTTTTTTTTTTTCTTTTTATTGGATCCTTTAAATTTCCACCGTCATATGTGTTACTCCCTAAACCTAAAACTGTCAAGTTAAAATTAACACCGTTGAAAGTTCCGTCTAAATCATCATCTTCTTCGAATTCCTTCCACCATAACCCCCAAGCTTTCTCTCTCCTTCCCCACCATTATACATCTCGCCGTTCCATCTCCAACATGTATGCCATTAGAGCTCGACTTTTTTGACTACACAGCTGCTATTATTACTTGAACAATTGTACCCATCGCAACCAAGAAGCCTTCACATATGGGCCTGGCCATGTGGGATTCCATGACCGGTGCAGCAACTCTACTTCTACAATGGAGGTAACCATGATCGATAATGAAGTGAATGACTGTTTGGAGGATTTCTGGAGACTTAGACCGGTGATCCTCCTGACGGCGACAGTGGAGGATCTCACTAGAGTCAACAGCCGCCGTGATCTTGTTATGATGATATTGGTTCGGAAAATGTAACAGCACGTAAAGTTCCCCCACCTTACCGCCAATCACGCCCGCTTCTCGTTTCACCAATGCAAGAAGAGATATAGTAATGCAGGCTCCACTCCGATGAGACATTTTGGGAAGGAGAAATGGATGAGTTATATGCATTTCTTTCTCATTTGTTGAGGATGATGTCAATAACTAAACAAAATTTGACTTGGGCTGCTATAGTGATTAAAAGTTCTTATATGGATATGATCTCAAAGTAGCACTCTACGCCGAAACATAGGAATAATTTGGTTCATGCATTGGTTTCTCAATATATCTTATTGATTCAATCAGTGTCATCCAAAATGACTTGGGTGTGAATTAGGTATATTTTCTGGGATATTTGATTAAAAGGCCTTGTGGATGATTTCTAGATAGCATCCACCAGATTTAATGGTGGGGGAAGGAGATGATATTAAGGAAGGAGAAAAGGAGAGAGAGAGCTTGGGGGTTACAGACTTACGATGAAAGGAGATTGAAGAAGAAGAAGATTTAGACTTTCAACGAAACTTTTAACAGTGTTAGTTTTCATTAACAGTTTTAGGTTTTAGGGAGTAATGGATCTAACGGTAGAAACTTAAAGGATCCAATAAAAAAGAAAGAAAGTTTAGGGACTTGATTCAAAATTGAGTATAATTATAAGGACCTACAAATTAGTTTTCCCAAAGAAGAAATTAAAGTACCTTCCATAGTGGAATGCTCTGTACTTGCCATCGATGTTACACTTGGCGAGTAAAGTTAAAGCACTTTGACTTCGCCAATTTTTTTTGTCCGGATAAAGAAAAAAGAAAAAGTTACGAAGAAGTCCCAAAAAATTAATTACTAAAAAAATTTAATAACAAGATCTATTATTATTTCTTATTCTAAAACTTGTTATTGTTTACTCTTTACTTATTGATAAACTTTAGGTAATTAAATCCTATTTTTAAAATCTTATTGCAATTCTCCCATAAAAAAGCTCTACCCATATCAAATAAACTGTACTTAATTAATTAAGTAAACTATAACAATAAAAAATATTATTAAAGGCCCCTGTACAGGCCTAAAGCTGCGACCGTATGAGTCATCTATCCACTTATGTGTTCAAGAAACTGATTTTAAAAAAAGAGGGAAAAAAGTTTCAGATTACAATATAGTCACATCAACATGCTAATCCACTAAAATGGCAAATCTAGAATAAACTAAAAAAGGCAAATGAAAAGACATGAGAAGTAATGGGATAGTTGTGTGAGGAAACTTTTTAGGAAAGCCACATGATAATACTAAAGGCTGACTCGTCTCTCATGCAGTTGGACGTCACAGTATTGAATAGCTTTTGCATGCAATTATCTTAAGCGAATCTTCATCTTCTCCTTGCAGGGGAAAAAACAACTAAATATGAAAATTAAATATTGGAGCATATAAGATTAGCAAAGTCTGTTATCTGAAAATAAAAAGATCATTAGTTAAAGTTTGGTTCCGAATTTATTGTGTTGCCTTAAAAAGGTGTATCTTAAGTTTGAAGATTGTGATTAATTAGCATTTTGATAACTAGATTCAATTTTTAATTGATTAATTTTAATTTATAGTGAATTTGATGTGACTTTGGATGGATTAATGCGATATATTGATAAAAATATTCTCTTGTTATTGTCACATATATTCTCTTTGTCAAAGAAATTACTACGTCCATTTTTTAATATAAAAACTAGTTAACTAATTTAAGTATATTAAAAAATTAGTTAAGTTAGTTATTTATAATAAATAAGTGTTATTTTTTTCTAAAATATCATTGCTAATTATGTGTATTAGCCAAAATTATAAATGAAACATTTAATGTATACAGTTACTACAAAAACTACTTTAAAAAAATAAATAAATAAGAGAGATAAAGTGGATTGTAGTCTTATATTTAGAATCAAATTAAATATCAAACTAGCTTTTATATTAAATATCAGATGTGATATTTTTCAAAAGGTTAATACAAGATTTGATCCTTATAGTTAGTTTGTTCTTATTTTGATTTTGATTATTATAATTTGAAATCATAGTTTTAGTCTCTCAAGTTTTTTTTTGTCTAAATCGCTAGTTTCTATATTTTAATAATAAGTTAGAGTATTTTAAAATTTATGATTTGAAATTATAGAGGCTAAAACTAAAATAAAAGCATGATATAAGGACATAGTATTGTATTAAACCTTTTTTAATGTAAACATCGTGGTCAGTGTTTCAAGTAACAATACAAGTCACTTTACGGATTAGTTTGAATTTCATACGAAACGTTAACTACTCTTTCTACCGCGAATGATGTCAATGTAAACGTTAACTTTAATGATACGATGGATTAGTATGTAAGTTACAATGGATGTATCTTAATTTAGTACCCAAAAATAAGAAAAAAATTTGAGATGATATTTAAAAGGAAAAATTACATTAAGGTCCCACCTAAAAGGCATAAAGACAAAGCAGCTTATTGAAATCATCAAATCAATTAGCAGTCTTAAATGATCTTATTGTAAGAAGTTTCACTTGTTCCATTACTAAGTTTTCTTTCTTTCTTTTTTTTAAGCACACATTGACCATTAATAACTTAAAGTGTAGCGATTAACAACTATTGTGGCAGATATTAACAACATATTTTCTTAGTGCATCAGTTGTTAATACCTACCAGGATAATTGTTAATCTTTGCATATTAAATTGTTAATTACTTCCCTCTTAGTTGTTAATGCATACTAAAAAAAAAAAGATAAGAACAACTTAGTAATTGAACAAGTGAAATTACTTGTAATGAGGTCTATTAAGACTTCAGATTAATTTGATGATTTTAAAGGATTTTTTTATATTTAATTTTCTTAGATGAGACCTTGATACAATTTTCTCTATTTAAAATCACTAAAACGTACAATAATAGAATTTGGCATTGAAATTATTAATCAGAATCAACCAAGGAAGCTTACGTTAAATATGATTAAAAAATTCTCATTGATAGGAAATACTGATTGTAATTTTATGTGGATCAAAATAGTTATATATTACTATATTTGAACTCCAAATAGTTATTTACTAGATGCATTTTGCAAAATCAGTTCGAACTCTTCAAAACAGATTTCATACACAGGCAAACCAATGTAGCTATGTTAGGCCGAACCAAAAAAAGAAAGCTTATTGGATTTAATATATAAACTTAATTATATATTTCGTCCAAGAAAACTTAATCGTATTTCCCTCTTGATTAAGCTACGGGAGACTACTGAGAAGTATCTCATAATTTTTATCTTTCTCTCTTCTCATACGCAATGACATGAATATTTCAGCTTTATTCTCTATCCAGTAGATATAATAGTTTAATTATCAGTCAGGTTTAGTATCCATTTGAAGTCAGAACATAGAGCAAATTTCGAAAGGAATGCTGGAAACTCCAAAACCTATATATATGGGCATACTTCAAACTATAGTTTGATTTAAAGTTCGAGAAATCTTTGAATATGCTTTTCTTAACTTTTGCTACCACGTGCGCTGAATTGGGGATTCTTTGAATCTAATTTATCTAGATATAACACATAAATTGCAAATTACTTCTTTTAAAAGACGCACGTTGTTGGTGCTAATGAGGTTTTGATTCATTAAATACTTGTCAGCAGGCCAATAGAATCTCAGACGATACTTCAAATGATATGAGATTATGAATAGACAATAAATTAAAATTGAGAAAGGAAACTATATAAATACAGAAATGCTGACTGTGAATCGATGATCTCCGGCATAAGACGATATATAATTAAAAGGGAAGGCACAACAAAAAGAAAAGAATTGGTTTAATTTAATTGGGCAGCATTAAAATTTAATAGCCTTTAACCATTATTGCGAAGTAAAGGCAAGGCTATCTTTTCTTTCTTTTTTTTCCCTAAAGCTTGTCTATAAATACGTGCGAGTTATCAACATTGATATGCCTCTCTCAGCCTGACGCGGTGGATCATCATATAGGGACCTTGTTTCTTTTTAAGCAATAATAATGGAAAAGATGAATTTTGTTAGAAATGGAGTGAGCAGATTGCCTCCTGGTTTTCGGTTCCAGCCGACAGATCAAGAACTTGTGTTTCAGTACTTGAAATGCAAGATCTTCTGCCTTCCCTTGCCTGCTTCCATTATTCCTGACCTCAATCTCTGCAACTTCGATCCTTGGGATTTGCCAGGTGAGACTCTTCATTTCTTCTTATTCAACTACTCAATGAACTCCTTTTTTAATCTTGAACTCAACTTCAATCCCTCCCTGGTGTTACTTGATTACTATTTTCTTATATTTCTATTTATAGGGCAGAGAAAGAGAGTATTCCTCAAAAAGTTAGCTTATATTACCTTCAGCCCTTAATATAAGAGTTAAATAGCTAATTTGAGGAGATTAAGAAAATTAGTTAAGTTAGTTATTTATAACAAATGTGTGTTGACTTCCTTAAATTATCCTTATTCTATCATATATATTGAAACTATATTTGGGTGGAAATAATTTACAATCAATAAAGATATTTTTTAGAACACATTATAAATTTAGGCAATAAAGTAAATTGAAGTCTTACATTTAGAATCATCAACTAGCTCTTATATTTAGAACCAGAAGTAGTATGATTTTAAGAGGTCAAACTTTTAGCAACGAGAGGTTTTTAAGAAATCAAAGCGAAGTGAGTGAGGTAAGCATATGATAATTTAAGTTGCATTATTATTCTTGTGCTTGTAATTAGAGCTGGGAATGCGGGCTGGCGGTGCGGATACGGGCCAGCCCGCAGCGGTGCGGGCCAAAAACGGTGCGGGCCAAAAACGGTGCGGGCTGAAGTAGCCCGCACTTTGGCGGGCTGGCATTTTGCCAGCCCGAGCCCGCCAAGGCGGGCTGGCGGGCTAGCCCGCCGGCCCGCCTAACTTTTTTTTTTTTTTTTAAATATTATTTGTATAAGTTTGAGCTTAGTTTGTAATGTTAAAATTGGACTTGGAGTTTTAAACTTGAGTAATGAGTTATAATAAAATAATGTGAGGATTAATTTATAATTTGAGAAGATATTTTAGAAAAACTAACACATATTTTTTTCTAAATAATTAATTTGACTATTTTTCTTATCCAAATTAATTAAGTAGATCTTTTATGTATATATTACATATGCAATTACATGGATGAGAAGATGTAAATATGAAATTTGGGGGTTAAAATCCTCCAAGTATGTTATATAATATATTAGAAATTATATAAAACTAAAAATTAAAAAAAAAAAAAAGCGGGCTGAAAACGGTGCGGGCTGGAGTAGCCCGCTTGCCAACCCGAGCCCGCCATTTTTGGCGGGCTGGCGGGCTGGGCCCGCGGGCCCAGCCCGTATTACCAGCTCTACTTGTAATTAAGGGGAGGAACTATTACTAATTAATGAAAACTGATGGAGGTCAATTAATGTGGGTTTTGATGAATTAGGTAACTCTGATGAGGAAGAGAGGCACTTTTTCAGTCCAAAGGAAGCAAAATATCGAAATGGGAATCGCATGAACCGAACAACCACCTCTGGATATTGGAAGGCAACAGGATCAGACAAGAAAATAACTTCTTTAAGAAACAATGACATCGTTGGTATAAGAAAAACCCTTGTTTTTTACCAGGGTAATTCCCCAAACGGCTCTAAAACTGATTGGATCATGCACGAATATCGTCTTGTCTCTGCTTCTTCCAAGTCCGAGGAGGTCGGAGACTGGGTTCTGTGTCGAATATCCCTCAAGAAAACAAGTGGTGGTGACACGAGGAGGACGAGGAGTCACGTTCAGAATAATAATAATAATAACAACGACAGGCAAGACATGGTAGGTCAGCCAACATTCTTTGATTTTATGATGCTGCAAAACCAAAACCTCCATGCTTCAGCATCGTCGTCTTGTTCAAGCTCCAACGGTTATGTATCGGAACATGAAGAAACAAGTGGATATACTGGTTTCTAGTTGAACAACACCAAATCAGTTCTGGTTACTTCTTTTCTTTGTTTATTTATGTCCATGTCCCATGCATGTCTCTGTGCAACATCTATGAATGAAGGAAAATGCGTATCACTTCAGTGTTCTTCGATCTTCATCACCTCGCAAGCTCCTGCTATCTTTATTAGCCTCCAATGAAACAGCAGAATGACAAATTAACAATCCTGCTTCCTTGCCTCATGGGCTTGTCGGGCCCAAAACAGACTTGGGCTTTTAGCCCATATTAAGTTTTAAGCTTGAAATGTTGTGCTCCTCACACAAGGGGTAGTGGGCTTCAATTTCTTGAAAAAAGAAAGAAAAAATGACCCAAAAATAATGAAAATTACAAAATTTCAAACCAGGTATTTTACAAAAACGTAATGTTATTTGTAAGTCAAGTATTATTAAAATCTCATAAAATTTGATAACAAATCCCAATTTGAGATTTAGTAATTTCTAAAATCTTTATTTATTATCATTCGAAAAAACTATCTCACATAGTCACTTCCCGGCCTTCTACGGTGCATCGACTGCATACCAGATTTATTGATTTTCATCACTATAACTTCCCTTTTCACGTTTAAGATCACAATTATAAGTAACATATATACTCTCTTCGTCTGTTTTTATAAGCAAAAACTACTATCTTCTTCTTGTTCCTGAATATAAGCAATATTTACAAATTATCTTAAATTTTTTTAACAAAATTTCTATTTTGCCTCCATTAATTACTTATTTTAATATACAATATATTTATTATCTCATTTTCTAAACTATCATCTCTCTCCATCCACATTTGCTTTCTTTTATAACTCTCTTTATTATGATAATTTTCTTATTCTCTTTCTTATACTCTCTCTTCCTCATGAATAAGGGTATTTTGAAAAAAAAAAAAATTAATTTCTACTTATTTATTATGTTTAGCTAACCTTTTGATTTATGTGATATAATCTAATATCTAATATTACGTATAAAAAGGGACGGGTGGATTATTACTAATGGGGTGGGATACATTGGATTTTTTTTTTTTGGGCAATTTTCTCTCACATGAACATGAAAAAAGTTCAAGCACTTTTTTTCAAAATAAGGGATGACATAATACTTGATCATGCTTTCTTACTACTGATAATATTTGTATCAGTTAATACAATTTTTGTTCCTCAAATGTATTCTCATTTCAGTTTTAGTTTCTTAAATTTCAAATAATAAGTTTTGGTCTTTTAAATTTTTTTCATTTAAAATATTAGCTCCCTATAATTCAATTAAAACTTGGACCATTTTGTCTCTTAATGAATCAAAACATATGGTTTGAAACTTCAGAAACCAAAACTAAAATAAAGATAGACGTAAAAAACCAAAAATTATATTAATTCTATTTTTATTTTATTGGTGTGGTTATAGACCTATTCATCTAGACATCTAGTTATTGGTTCAAATTCATTTTGATTTGTGGAGAGCAAATATTACATCTGGTGTTTAATATAAAAGCTCATTGACTAATTTGTATAGATTAAGAAATCATGTTAAGTTAGTTATTTGTAATTAAATATGTGTTATTTTTTCTAAAATATCATAACTAATCAAACATATTAGCTATAACTATCATTTAATAAAATATTTAACATGTGCAATTACTGCAAGATTACTTTAATAAAATATGAGAAATAAAATTGATTGTGATATTATATTTAGAACTAAATCGAATATTAAATTAGTTCTTATATTAAGAAGTTAAGGTAATTTGATATTTTTTAATTGCTATTATAGCTTTTAATATTTGTAGTTTTGTAGCTGGTCAAAAAAACAATATTTGTAGTTTTGTACAAAGACCACGTGAATGAAATGCACTTGAATCGGCTCAATCAACATATCTTAATTCTTACTTCTCTTCTACTTCTTTTGTTTTTAATATAAGATCTATTTAATTAATTTGATTAAATTAAAAAAGTTATATAAATTAGATAATTATAAAAAAATCACATGTTTCTTCTAAAACACTATAATTATCTTTACTAGTATCCTCCCTCCACTCCTATTCGATTATGATTAGGAGAATATCTATAGAAATAATTTAGAAAAAATCGATAAATATGATAAATAGGTATTATATTCAGGACTAAAATTAATTCAACAATTAGGTCTTATATTAAAAATTGAAAGAGTACTAAATTTAAAACTCATTTTATGATATCATTTATATTATAAAATAAGTCTTGCATTTAAAACTGAACAAGTTTATATATAAAATAGAAAAAGGTCATCCGCTCCCGTTTCAATGAGTTCATTTTAATTCATGAACCTAACAGTAGATATTTTCATAGTTTATCTGTTTGCCATATAAGTGCACAAATTTTTTTTTTTTAAAGTGCATTCATCAAAACATAAATTGTATTAATATCCATTATTCGTTAAAAAGACACAATCGCACAATCAATATTTTCCACTTTTTCTATAAAAAAATCATATTTGTAAAATATAATTATAATGTTTCAAAAAGTATTACTATTACGTGTCTATATTTCTGTGCGGTGCCATCCGGAGATTATAATCTTTCATCATCATCATCATCATCGTCATTATTATTTTGCTAACTAATCTTTCATTAGTTTAGATTATGATCCGAGCAAGGCTGCACGAATTTATCCAAAAAAAAAACCACCAAAAAAGGAAACTTGCGCCAGTCATAAACAGTAACTAAAGATAATGAAGGATCTAAATTGAAATTAAATTTTACTTTATACGTATTGATGAATCTAGGTCACATAAGATGTATCATTTCTGAATTTAACGCCTGCCTCATAAAGATTTTTTTTTTCTTTCTAAATTTAGTGGATGACGTATATAAATAAAGAATCCGCGTTCTCCTCTTCTCACTGGCCTTTACTAATGCCAGTGGCTGTGTGACGGTATATAAAGCGCGAGAGAGTGAGAGGACAAAGGAAAGTGAAAAGGTGCAAACTTTATTCCTCCTCTTTCTGCTTCCTCTCCGTTGAAGTAAGCAGGCGGTGGTGTGTCGTGTTCTTCACATATATGTATCGTGTTCTTTTGATTTCTATCCTCGCCCCCAAGCCTATTTCTCTTTCTCACTCTCTAGGGTTTCTCTTTTTTCTGATTCCTCCCTCAGATTGAAGATGATCGACTTTGTTCGCGTACAGAAGGAGCTTGTCGAATGCGGCAAGGATATTGAGGGCTCCGGCATCAAGGTTAACGTCAAAGGCGACAACCTTGCTCGCTTGATCGGAACCATTCCTGGCCCTCTCGGAACTCCTTACGAGGGGGGCATTTTCCAAATTGACATTACCATACCCGGTATGTTCATTCTAGTTTATGAATTTCGACATGTTGTCAATTGTATATGATTGGAGGGTAGGGTTTTTAGTAGTGCCTACTGGGATTACCCTTTGGCGACGCTTGGTTAATTGGCTTATTGCTTGATCTGCTTCTCTTGGATAGCATGTGAAGGATAATAGTTTGGAAGTTTTTATTAACTTGCTATGCCCTTTTCCTTGATTGCAGATGGCTATCCCTTCGAACCTCCCAAAATGCAGTTTGCGACGAAAGTCTGGTGCGATAATTTTGATGGACCTCTGTCTTTTTTGTGCTTCGTTCATATGCGGGATATTATAAGGCGTGTGCTAGGTTTCCTTGTTTGTGTTGTTCGATATAGTCCTGTAAAATCATTGTTTTTGACATTGAAATTTATCTGGGCTTTGATGTTGGATTGTGGATGTGGAAGAAGGAAAGAAGGTTTGGAATAGTTATGCGGAGAACTCTTTGCACTTAGTTGTTTGACATGCTGTTAGTTTCGTGAAAATATATCTTCAAGGACCAATGTTTTATCATTTAATCAGGGAGAACTCTTTGCGTAGTTGTTTGACATGCTGTTAGTTTCATGAAAATATATCTTCAAGGACCAATGTTTTGTCATTTAGTCATGGTTAACTTACTTAGTTGATAACAAGCCTTAAGCTAGAATTCCATCTCCCCGCGGCCCCTTCCTCTTTTTCTGTTATTGATTATTGACGTTACTGTAAATGGACCAAAAGCAGCCAGATTAGAATCATGTGCTGACCCTGTTTGAAAACTTGAATAATGTGACTGGTGAATCTTCCCCTACCCCACCCACTAATATTATGTGGTCTTCATTCCAATCTAGTCGCTATGATTGAGCATGGTTCATCACATAAGTATGGTTCTTTCACAATACACTGTGTGGTTGAACTAAATCTTCTGCCCAAAAGTTATTGCACTGAGAATAGATAAATCAAATACTTTGTGTGTTTTTAATGGCAATAAAGTTTTGGTGCTGGAACGTCGAGCTTTTGGAGTTTGCTTCATTAATTAAGTTACAGTGAATTAGATGTTCTGGCTTCTGAAGAGGGAGACTTATTGTCATGATTGACTGACCACTTATTATGGAAACTTTTTCAATTTTTTAGCGCCTATAAACAGAGTAGTTAATTATGTATGGCATTTAATACCCTGCTGCTGGCGAAGCATTTTCGTTCATATAATGCTTATATTCTATACTGTGTTATGTCACCTGTTGAAGGCACCCTAATATCAGCAGTCAGAGTGGAGCTATTTGTCTGGACATCTTGAAAGATCAATGGAGCCCTGCACTGACACTGAAAACAGCGCTGCTTTCTGTGCAAGCACTTCTCTCTGCTCCTCAACCTGATGATCCTCAAGATGCTGTTGTAGCACAACAGGTGTGGCTCAGGGTCTGTGTTGTTAATGACGTTTCTTATATATTGCATGATGCTCTGTCCGCGGTTGGTTAAATGCAGTAATATTTTGCATTCCATACTTAATTTTCACTGCCAAATTTATGTTTGCATATTTTTCCTTATACTCTTATGTCATTCTGAATCAGTTTATTTCCATGGACAATGCAGTATCTCAAAGACTACCAGACATTTGTTGGCACTGCACGGTACTGGACCGAAGCTTTTGCCAAGGCATCATCTCTTGGGATTGAGGAAAAGGTACTGAGCTTTTGCATTTGATCTCATGTCATTGGAGGATGGATT